GATCATCCCGGTGCTGCCCACACCGTCGATGCAGAGGCCCGTACCAGCCCCTCTTCCACCTCCAGTCCCTATGGACGTGGATCGCACACGCGCTCGGAGCGCCCCCCGCCGTGGGTGCTTCCGATGCGGGGACCCCAACCACTTTGCACGCGACTGCACCACCCCGGTTGACATCCGCACTGTCGATGTGCTCGACGAGGTCATTCAGCAGCTTGGCACCGACATGCTCGATGAGCTTGTCGCCCGCCTGGCCTCTGCCGATGCCGCTGCAGAGCATGCCGCTGCTGTTGCCCAGGAGGATTTTCCCCCCCGCGCAGAGTGAGCGGTGCGCCCTCTGTCGCGTCCCCCAATCGTTTCAATGTCTTACGTAATGAGTCTGACAATACACCTCTTACACCACTTGGAATGATAGACGCCCCCCAAAATCTAAAAATAAACGATGACCTCACACCCAGGAAGTTAAGCCCAGACCCCGCTCAACTTTCCAGCCCTGATGTCATGCTGTGCAATACCACGTGCAGTGTTCCGGCAACTCCGGTTCCCACTTCCGGTCGGGCCGCTCGTGCCAAACCAGCCCCCGATGACCTCCCTTGGGATCGTCTGCAACGCAAGCCAATGTGGGAGCGCAAGCTGCCCAAGCACTTCACTATTGCTGCAGACCCTAGCCCCAACTCTCTCTTCCTCCCCTTGGAGATTGAGTCCACCGATGATGCGGTGAAGCTCTCTGTGTCTGGGCTTGTTGATTGTGGGGCAACTAGCGAGTTCATTGACACAGAGTATGTCGCGGCAAACCGGATCCCGGTCCGCAAGCTCTCGCGGCCTATCCCCGTGTTCAATGTTGATGGCACTCCCAATGAAGCCGGCGGCATCCGGGAAGTTGCTGATGTTATCCTCCGCTACAAGTCCCACAGCGAACGTGTTGTCCTTGCTGTCACCCGTCTTGGCAAGCAAAAGCTCATTCTCGGGTACTCTTGGCTGCGGAAGCACAACCCGGAGATCAACTGGGACACCCAGGAGGTCAAGATGAGTCGTTGCCCATCCGTCTGCACAACCTGTCGTGATGAGGCACGGACTGAACGTCGGCACGCAGCAACTGCTGCTCGCATCCTGCGGCAACTTCGGGCCGGCCCAGTTCCAACTATTTGTGCAGTTGATACTGATGACCGGTCTGGAGAGGATGACGATGAGGAGTTTGACACTGACGAGCTGCCAGAGTTGTCTCTTGACGACTCCGATGAATCTGACGACGAGGATGATCCGGTAGAGGATGGTGACCGCATCTTCTACACGACATTCTCGCCGCCGGAGGACATCCGCGCTACCAGCACCGTTTCACAACGGCTTGCAGAGGCGTATGCCAAAAACTCCGCACCCGGTACGGAAGCAATTCCCGAGTGGGCGCGTGAGTTTGAGGATGTCTTCAATCGGGAGTCATTTGACTCGTTGCCCGAGCGTCGGAGCTGGGACCATGCCATTGAGCTTGTCCCAGACTCGAAGCCTGCCAACTGCAAGGTCTACCCAATCTCACCCCTCGAGCAGCGTGAGCTGGACGCTTTTATCGAGGAGGGCCTTGCTACTGGTAGGATTCGACCGTCCAAGTCCCCGATGGCGTCTCCAGTCTTCTTTGTCAAGAAGAAGGATGGGGCACTTCGGTTTGTTCAGGACTATCGAGCACTCAATGCGATGACCGTGAAAAACCGGTACCCACTCCCTCTGATCAACGACCTCATTAACCGATTGAAGGGAGCCCGGTTCTTCACGAAACTCGACATCCGGTGGGGCTTTAACAATGTCCGCATCCGTGAAGGCGACGAGTGGAAGGCCGCATTCCGTACAAACCGTGGGCTCTTTGAGCCTTTGGTGATGTACTTTGGCCTGACCAACTCCCCTGCGACCTTCCAGACCATGATGAACGACATCTTCCAGGACCTCATCCTGTCTGGCGATGTCATGGTCTACCTTGACGACATCCTCATCGCGCACTCGGACCTCACCCGGCATCGCGAGATTGTCCGGGAGGTCCTTCGGCGGCTCCGGAAGCATAAGCTCTACCTGCGCCCGGAGAAGTGCGAGTTTGAGAAGTCATCGATCGAGTATCTCGGCGTGATCATCTCCCACAACCATGTCGAGATGGACCCGGTCAAGGTTGCTGGAGTCACTGCCTGGCCGACGCCGGAGAACAAGAAGGACGTGCAGCAGTTTGTAGGCTTCACTAACTTCTACCGGCGCTTCATCCGAGACTTCTCCGACCTCGCTCGTCCGCTCTTCGATCTGACCCGGAAGGGTCAGGTTTGGGTTTGGACTGAGAAGGAGGCCGGGGCGTTTCAAGCGCTCAAGGACGCGGTTACCTCCGATCCGGTTCTCATCCTTCCAGATGAGACCCGGATGTACCGCCTCGAAGCTGACAGCTCTGACTTCGCTTCTGGTGCTGTCCTCTCGCAGGAGTCTGATGATGGGAAGTGGCACCCTGTCGCATTCTTCTCCAAGAGCTTGTCTCCGGTCCAGCGCAACTACGAGATTCACGACAAAGAGATGCTTGCGATTGTCCGGTCTCTCGAGGAGTGGCGACACTTCCTCGAAGGCTCGCAGCTTCCTGTCGAGATCTGGACTGACCACAAGAACTTGGAGTACTTCCGGAAGTCACAGAACCTCAACCGCAGGCAGGCGCGGTGGTCGCTGTACCTGTCTCGGTTCGACTTCACCCTTCACCACAAGCCCGGGCGCTTGATGGGTCGACCCGACGCCCTCTCTCGGCGACCGGACCATGGGGCAGCTTCGGATAATCAGGATGTGACGCTCCTGACTCCCGAGCTCTTTCATGTCCGCGCGCTGGAGGGCATCACCATCTCCGGTCCGGAAGCTCCCCTTCTCCGCGACATTCGTGATGCACTTGCCGGCGCTGCCGATCTTGAGGAACCCGTTGCTCGGGCGGCGCGGGAGCTTCTCAAGGTCCGTGGTGCCCGCTCGTCCCGGAACGCTGAGTGGAACGTTGCGGGTGGTCTCCTCTACTTCCGTGGTAAGGTCGTTGTCCCTCGGGACAAGGACCTTCGCCGCCGGATCCTGGAGCAGCACCACGACACGCGGGTTGCTGGGCATGCAGGTCGTTTCAAGACGTTGGAGCTTGTCTCCCGGAACTACTGGTGGCCCCAGATGTCCCGTCACGTCGGCCGGTATGTGGCGACCTGCGACCTGTGCTGCCGCACAAAGGCGCTTCGCAAGCTTCCGATCGGTGAGCTGCACCCCACTGAGGTCCCCCCAGACCGCTGGCACACGGTCTCGGTGGACTTCGTGCCAGAGCTTCCAGAGGCTCATGGGTACGACGCTATCATGGTTGTAGTTGACGTCCTCGGTAAGCGGGCGCACTTCAATGAGTGCACCACGCATATCGACGCTGTCGGTGCTGCCCGGCTGTACTACCGAAATGTCTGGAGACACCATGGTACACCGGAGAAGTACATCTCTGACCGGGGTCCCCAGTTTATTGCGGAGTTCACCACGGAGCTGTGGCGTCTCATTGGTATTGAGCCAGCGACGTCCACCGCTTACCATCCGCAGACAGATGGTCAGACCGAGCGAGTTAACCAGGAGATGGAGCAGTTTCTGCGCATCTTCACTAACTACAAGCAGGACGACTGGGACTACCTCCTTCCCGCTGCGGAGTTTGCGTACAACAACCACATCCACTCCTCCACGCAGCAGGTCCCGTTCATGACCGATACCGGTAGGCTCCCTCGCATGGGGTTTGAGCCGACCGGCATACGCTCCAAGGTGGAGTCCGCCAACGATTTCCGCGACCGCATTGCCTCTGGCGTCTCGGAAGCTCGGTCTGCGCTGGTGAAGGCCAAGGAGGAGTACAAGCGGTACTACGACCGCCGCCGCACTCCCGCTCCGGACATCAAGGTTGGGGACCGTGTCTGGCTTGACGCTTCGGACATCCAGACCACTCGTCCGTCGCCGGGCCTCTCTCATCGCCGCTTGGGCCCTTTTAAGGTGCTCAAGGTCGTTGGGAAGGGTGCGTTCAAACTGGAGCTGCCTCCCCACTATTCCAAGCTTCATCCGGTGTTCCCCGTGGTGAAGCTAGAGCTTGCGGAGGACGACCCGTTCCCGGGTCGTCCAGGGTATGACGAGCCTGAACCAGTGCTTCCAGACGCACCTGGAGACGCTCCGGAATGGGAAGTTGACGCAGTTCTGGATGCTAAAGTCCGGTGGAAGAGCTTGTGGTACTTTGTCAGCTGGAAGGGCTACAACGCGGCGCACAACCAGTGGGTTAAGCACTCCAACTTCTTTGGTCCAGAAGCCCTCGCAGCGTTCTACGAGAAATACCCGGCCAAACCTCGTTTAATTGCTCGTGCGTCCTTTGACTCCCTTCCCTTCCAAAGCACCGCCCTCCACGTCCGATCTATGCGTCGAGGCGCCGCATTCCAAGGGGGGGATGATGTCAGGGGACCCCTCTTCCAACGCCCCTCCGGTCCGTCCCGATACCATCACGCCTGTGATCAAGCCCGGGATCTCTGCCGATCACTCCGGTCACATGTCTCTGTACAGTAGCTATATATACTCACGGCCTGGCGTGTGGATCCTCAGAGTTTCTTCTCTTTGGATTCCCCTCGTCAGGTGCGTTACCTTGTATTAGTAGCTACCGTTTATTGATCTTTGGATTCCCCTCGTCAGGACTCTTGAGTATTCTCGGGCCTCGAGGTTGCCCTTACAGCTCCGAGGTCAAGCGCATGGAGGCGTCGGATGTGGATGTCGTGAACAAATGCTTGCCTTTACTGTCGGACCGCGGGATTTTGCGGGTGTACTGGAACCCTCGGTGCGAGGTCGAACAGCTGTTTGGATTCTGATATACGTATCATACCACTGACTCGAGCTGTGATGATAATCAAGTTCCCGCTCAAAAATCTGGCGAGGGCCTCGCTTACCAGTGTGGGCCGAAACAAGAAGCTGATCTACCACAGTTGAGGCAAGGTCTGTTTGTGTAAACTGATATTCAACGTTAAGGCGCTATGGCCGAGTGGTTAAGGCGACAGATTCGAAATCTGTTCCGGTTTCCGGGCGTAGGTTCAAATCCTGCTGGCGTCGTCGGGTGGTCTTCAACGGCTTTGGTTTTTGATTCCGCATGGACTTTTATAATTAACCTCCTCGGCGAGGTCAGACTGAAGCCCATTCGAGCCGCTACGCGCGCGCTGCAAACTCCTTAACACTCGTAACATCCGCCATGTCCAGCTTTCACACGTCCACTGCACCGAGTGCCCCGTCTCAGCCATGATACGTGTCTTCGCGGCCTTGCCCTTTCCCACATCGCGCACCTCCAGCAGGATTTTGGCGGGATTCAATCGCGCTAGCTTGAAGTACGGCCGTCGGCACTGAAAAATGCACTGAAATCGGCCCGAAGGTTACTTTGGATCTTTATTGATTGGTGCGAAGTTGCTTTTTGGATAAAATTGCCAAACAGTGCCTTCTGTGACCCTATCCCTGATTGAATTTGACCTCCAGAGGACAATATGGATACCCTGCACCCTGAAAACGAGCTTTTATGGTCTTCAGGAAGCCGCTAAGGGCCGAATTGCTCCAAGATACTGAGAGCTGTTGTTCTGATTTATAACGCAGACTCGACAGCGAGAATAAATGGTGCTCAGAAATATAAAGGGCTACACTTACCGCTGTGGGCCGAAAGAGGAAGCTATCTGGAAGCTGGTTAGAGGCTGTTGAAGTGTGGAAAGCTCAAAAGATTCATCACGTCATTCTGCAACCCTAAATTGCCGTAGATAACATAGACTGTATGATAGAAAACTCAATCTTTCAATCGGCGCTATGGCCGAGTGGTTAAGGCGACAGATTAGAAATCTGTTCCGGTTTCCGGGCGCAGGTTCAAATCCTGCTGGCGTCGTTCTCTCTCCTCAGCGACTTTTTGGTGGCATGACCCTCTCCTCAGACAAACAGAGTCTGTGTCCCGTAAAACCGACAGCGCCTTGCAACTCTGTTGCAAGCGCCTTGTCGAGTCCTGACAACTTTAAAGGATATGTAATAACCTTGTCCTGCGAGGCAGATCTCGAGTGCAATGTAAAAGCAAGATATTCTGGATGTCCATTTCAAGTTCAGCGACTGAAGACGGTGGCGATACTCATGGCAGGCAAATCGCAGGAGTCAATTGATCGAGGAAACAGGGCCAAAGCAATGGCACCGCTTATGACTTCATCAGACTTTTGACAGATTGATTGTGGTATTGTACAACACCAAACAACACCAAAAAACGCGTGAAAACGCCAAAAAACACCACAATGCACAATGCCGACAATTTTTGCCTAAATTTTGACAACACCGAACAATGATCTGCGGTTTCAATCAAAGGGGAAGAAAATTCCCGCGGCTTTGGACTTCCACAGGAACATCCATGACCACCCCGAACCCTGCGCTCGATGTAAGCCATCCGGTCTGTTTGTCGCCGCTGGGAGCACAAGAAATTTGGGTGAACAACGCCGAAACACCAAAAAACACGTGCAATACCACAATCAAAATGTCAATTTGCTGATGTTCGTTCTTAACGTCCATCTGAACTTCAATGTTCATCGGATTCATGTGAGATAGCCGGCTGCGTCAACTTTACGATGGGGACCTGGCGATTTCTCAGGCTATACTGGATGCGGGCTCAAGCTGAAGAACCACCGCCGTCTAACAGCCGTGGCATGCATCCGCGCTCCGTGTCACAGTGTGGCATCCACCAAGAAACTTCTCCGCCGACCTGGGCCCCAATCCGACCAAACACCAGTAGAATATTGCGCGATACGGGGTTCATGGAACTCGAAGTGAGCGCTCGTCCGATGGATTGGGAGTCGTTTAAGTTCCGGCCTTAGAGTCCCTAAGCTCTGGTGAGATAATTCTTTGCCAGTCCTCGCTGGAGGTCTTTGATCAGGGTTAAGATAGCACCAACCCGCAGACGCTTTCGGAGCGACCCTTCCTGTCTCACCGCCGTTACCCTCTGACCTTCGCTTTTTTTACTTAGACGGACCGAATTACAAAGGGCGATGAATCAGCCACTTCCACAGAACTAACGAAGAAATGTTTTCTCATGGTGGGTCGTATAAAGCGCCGTTTCTCTAATGGTGCCCTTCATAGCATGCTGCCCGTTCTCGCGCTATTGTTTTGCCTCTCGTGCATCCGTACCGTGTCGGGAACGTCGTGCGGGTGTTCATCGCTCGTTATCCCCGCTCATGTCGATGTCCTCGTTCCGAAGGACTCCACAGATATATTTGGTGGGCTCAAAAGCAACGCCAGCAGTCTACGCCGCGTGGAAGACACCTTCAATATCTCTGGCAGTTTCTGCCAGCCTGACGTTGTGTCCGCTGAGAATCCCGGTCAGGTTTCTGGCCTGTCTGGTAGCCTCCCAATTGAATTTCTTCAGGTGTTATCCAACTTCTTGTGCACGGATTCACGTATACCGGAGCGTATTGGGCACCTCCGGTCGAAGAATTCAGTAACTACTCATATGCCGCCTTTTCCTGCAATCGCGGGCTGTCCTCCCTTGCCGTCGATTCGCTAGGTGTCGGGCTAAGCTCGCGACCTGTGAATGCGTCTGACGTGCAATACCCGACTAGCTCAGCTGCTCTCTCGCAAGTGGCCCGTCATCTCAAGAGTGCGTCTATCCTCCCCGGCGTACCGCCTTTCAAAAAGGTTATTGGTATTGGCCACAGCGCAGGGTCAGCCATGTTGAACTTTGGCGCAATCGTTGAAGGTCCACAATCGCCGTTTGACGGCCTCATCCTCACCGCCGAGCTCATTACCGAGCCCGACAATGCGCCATCATCCATCATTCCACCTGTCCTCCTGGCGCGGGAAGATACTCCGCTCCGCTGGGGCGTGCTCGACCCTGGCTACGTCACAACGAGCAATCGTACTATTTTTTATCCCGCTAACCCAACAACTTTCTCACCCCGGATGGTCGTGCTCGACAATTTCATGAAAGACGTGGGGTCCACATCGACGGGTTTGCAGATACCTACATCGTCGTTGACAACGCAGTACATTGGAGCCGTGGCGAAGGTTGTGGGATCGGAGGACCAATTCTTTTGCGCTGGAACTGGTCGGTGTGGGGACGTGGCGGCTTTAACCGCGCTGGAACGTGTTGTATGGCCTGCGGCGAAAAGCTTTGATGTCGTGGTTGCCGAGGGAAGTGGACATGATTTGAATCTTGATTTCAGAGCAGACGGACCGTTCAATACCTTTGTCCATTTTGTTGACCAGTTTTCTGGATTATGAGATGCCCCCTGTGAAATTAACCGGTTATTGATGGCTTCCAGCATTATTGAGCGTTGTGAAAATTGCAGTACTTCCAGATCATATCGAACTAGTGTTGAGCTTCACCGCTGCAGGGGTGCAGATCGCATCGAGTTAGATCTGAATGCAGTCTAAGGGGTTTCGAACCTGCACTACAAGAAACCGAGGCCGTGAATTCGTTCATCTGCGGAGTGCATCAACCCTTCATTCTGCCATCCACTGGCACGGAGTACTGTACAGTGTACGACATTGGTACGACTCGGACAGTGTACACTGTACATGTACTTACGACCCTCAGGCTTTCGACCATGTGAGTTGCTCCATACTTTTCTGCGGTGCCATTGTTTCTGAATCGGATGCAGGTTGGATGATAGACGTTCCGGACCCTGACCTGATGGCCGGCGAAAATTGCCTATCCTTGGTAGATTTTGCGGTTGAGAACTTTGAGTGTCTCCTCAGCCAACTCCCGTATCTGGGCGACTTGCGGAATTTGAAGAACCTAAAAACGCTCCGGATCACCATTAATCACTACCTAATTCCGAATCCAACCCTACAACAGTACTGCAGGGGACTCGATGCCCGCTTCATGCTGCTACCCAACGGTGTCACCGTTGAAATCTACGCCGCGTTTTTCCGGTCGCCAGAGAAGTACATGAACACGCACGATGTGGCTGATGTGAAGAACTGGTTGCCGTTGCTGACGGGCCGCGGGATGTTGCAGGTGTACTTCAACCCCCAATGCGATGTTCGACGACTGTTCGAGATGTGATAGCGGTAAGCTCTCCATCCAAGCTACGGCAGGATTTTTGGTGTGCGCATCGGTACTTTCTTCATCCTGCCAGGTTGACTCACGAATGCGTAGATCAGTTCAAATCACTGCTGCCGTTTGTAGATACCAAGTACTAGCTTCTGTATATTTGCTCACCGGAGCCACACTTTCTGGGCTAACAGAAGTCGTGATCGATTGAATCGGAAAAGTTGCAGCCTCAAGACACGAAATCTGTGTTCGTGCCTGCGTCTCGGGACTGGCACAGTCGACTCCAGGAGCGAAAAGTGGTTTCAGGGGAAACCCTTCTCGATGAAGGCCAGGTGACCGACAGAGGCAATCGAACCAAAGCCCATGTGTCCCTGGTGAAGAATTTTTAGGTTTCCAGCTCTTCCTTTCTCACCACTCGCTGTCCTCTGACCTTGAATCCAGGCTTTTTTTGTTTGGACGGACCCAATGGAACAGATGCTGAATCAGCACCTTACGGACCTTCCAGAACCAATGAAGCGCTGGCTTCTCGTGATAGGCCGTATGCATAAAGAGTCCAAGTCCAACTACTCCTGGCGAGTAGTTAAGTATGTTGCTACCTGTGGTCTCATTCCTGTTATACTTCTCCCGCATTCCGACGTCCGGGGCGTCCTGCGGATGTTCTTCAGTCGTCGTCCCCGTGCATGTCAACGTGCTCGTTCCGAAGGATCCTACGGATATGTTTGGTGGCCTCACAAGCAACGCAAGCAGCAAACGCCGCGTGGATGACAATTTCAACATTTTTGGAATATTCTGTAGGCCTGACAATGCATCTCCCAAGAGCGAAGGTCAGGAGCCGTCTCAACTTTGGATCTTTTCGGAACTGACGCGTCGTTTCCCAGAGGTTATCCAACTCCTTGTCCATGGATTCACATACACCGGCGCATATTGGTCGCCTCCAGTTGAAGAATTCCGCAACTATTCCTACGCCGCCTTCTCATGCGAGCGTGGGCTTTCCTCCCTTGCCGTCGATGGGTTGGGGGTTGGGCTGAGTTCGCGACCAAAAAACCCATCC